CTCTCTCTCGGCGGCGATCGTAGAGACGAAGGGGTTGAAGGATCCGTTCAAACGGTTGTTGGCTCGACGGACTTCGCTGGAAGCGGTGGCTTCGCTGTTGTCGGCAGCGCGGTTAAGGTTAGCCCCATCGCGATCACTGCCCGTCGCACTTGTAGTGGAAGTAGGTATGTCAGCAGGGTGAACCACGGTCGATTTTGGCTGAGAGAAAGAAAGATTTGAGCTGCTGTGCGCGTTCAACGACCAAGCGCGATATTCAGTTCCAGGGAGCCAGCCGACATTGAGCAACAGCGAGCCGTCCTGGGTAAACGCCCAGTGGATGGAAATGTCGGAGCTGGTGACTAATATGCATTGAGATGCCATGTGAACAACCTTTACAAAGTTTTCCCCTTCAGTCACCCAATGTTCAATACAAAAAGTCCAAACAAAGCAAGGCATGGCAAGGCAAGGCAAGGCAAGGGGCAAGGCAAGGCAAGGGGCAAGGCAAAGCAAAAGGGTGAGATGTGATGAGCGTGCAGCACGCCAATCATCGGTCGCCTTCTCTCTTGCCCGTTTTTCGCAATCCTGTTCCTACCACTTTGACACCTTCGGTTCGTAAGCCAATCAGAATCATCTCCGGATAACATCAATGTTATCTGGAGATGATTCTGATTGGGCCACTTTCGCATCACCCCTCGGAAAATCTGGTGGCGTCTGGCGCATGCAGCCACGGCAGGGAAACATATCAACGACTGATCAACTTCACCCTGAGGCGGAGGGTCATTGACGCTGGACTCGACATGCTCCGATTGAAAACGGCTGCACGCCCGATTAATTTAGTTGCATTTTCATCATCCGGCAACATCGGAAACGGCGGGGCGGCAAAGCCTTGCGAGGTAACTGCATGCGTCGTGATTGCCATGTAGTTTTATCCTTCAGCCTCTTGTTGAGTTGCGATTGATCGCTTTCCCCTAGCTCAAAGTCTTGTTGTGGCTCCTGTTATTAAGCTCGTAAATTTTAGTAACCGTACTTGGCGTGCGATGGCTGGCCGTATGAATCGAAAAGACATCCCGAGATCTTTGTTACGAATCCGGCTGCGAAATAGCGTAGGATGAATAAATACTGCCTCAAGAGTATATCTACGCGTATATAAATATACCGCTCTCCGCAGCGTAACAGGGCACATTTAACTCTTCCACTGCCACCGCGTTATTTGTGCAGCATGCATTCAAATCTGTTTGTAAGGATTCGCTCCTTATACTTGCAACTATTTCCACGCCATTTTCCTCCGAATCATGATGAGATCTCTCAACCTGCACTAAGAGGTCACTTGCAGGACAACGAGGAAGAAACGAATGCGCTAGGAAAATACAGCTGGACACGCGTGCTCCACAAAAAGGGCCATGATGACGACGATGAAAGTGAGACGCCACCGCATTATTTTTCAACACCTCCCGAGAACTTGCCCAATAATTATAACATTCCTGCGAAAAAGAACATTAATCTGGGGGAGATTCTCTTTTTAACCAACAAAGAGAAGGCCCAATATGCATCCCTGCACCGCGGAAAGGGAGCTCATGAAGACACGTTGTTACAAATAACAGCCCAACTAGGATTTCAGACATTTGCTAGCATGACATTATACTATCTTGCGAGGGCTTCGGCACATAACTTTCATTTGTGTCATACCGAGTTTTGCAGATTCGTAAAGAACTCATTCCTTACGCTTGATCCAAATGTTGTTATCGCCCTTTCAGGGATGACTTGTGCGGTGGTGGGCATACAGGGAAGGGAGCTAACAAATTCTAACATCTTTGCCTATTTGAGACAATTAGAGGCTGACTTATATGATCTGTTGGAATGGGGATGCCAACCAGAGGCCGTCACTGTCTCTGAAGCGTCCAGTTCATTTCAGGTCATACAAATAATGTTAAGCCAAGGACCGTCGAGAAAATTCTTGAAGTACCAAGGCAACCTGAAGAAGGATTTGGAAGTTGGATTGGTAAGGGCTTTCTGTCGAGTTATCTGACATTCTACTGACCAAGGCAGAGCACTTCTTGGGATGTCGCAACTAAGCTGCGGACATAATTTTGCGCCCATTTACATCACACATGGAGAACATGTACCTATCCAGCAGCAGCCGTTCAAGCCCGCAACCCACTTTGCTTCGGCCGTCTCGCTATACTTGATGGTTTCAGGAGGTATTATGGCGGACGGAGAAGAGAATGATCTGATCAACCCAGTAATTGAGGGGTTTTCACCGAGAAAAGCACAAATTGCATGTCCACGGGAGTCTCGGGCCAGCCATGCGAATGATCATCACACGAGGTATCAGATGCCAGGGAGTGCTTCTCTAGGTTAATTCCGTCAAGTGTGTCGTGAATGTTCGGTTATAATCTATCCATTCGCACTTGCTCATTCATCGGAGAATTAGAAGTATTGGGTTTGCTCTCTCAATAAACTAGACAGTGACAGCTTGGTGGTTTTGTGGTGCCTAGGTCGGATCAATCATTTGCAGGGCTAAAGTTCAGTAATTGACCAAGCCTTAGTTGCCGTCAGTAATCCCGTATGAGAATGCATGGTGATACCTCGTTGAACATTCTACGTCTCTTCAGAGTATCACAAGGAAGTGCTCATGTTCACGATCTCGAGGTACATGGACAATTCACAGAGAGCGGCCCATGCCCTGATCATCAGTAGCGTTGGTAAGATAACTACTTCAACCCTTAGTCTTAAGTAAAGAATTCCAAAGTCCTTCACGTTTGCTGGTATTGGATAAATAGGCCATATTAGCGCCTGGTTTGCTTTCCAACTTTCAGATTTTAGATCTTAACCACAACTTAGAACACCAATAGAATATTCGAAGCACTTAGAGTAGTTACTGTAAAGAATATTGGAGGTAGCGAATATAATATTTATAGGGATATTCGGTTTCAAGGCCGAATATGGGGAAAAAAGGGATAAGGTAGGATAGTTCAAGCTAATAGAAAGATAAGACAGATGAAGATTGAACCTCAATAAAGATTAAAAAGCGAATTTGAGTATTTCATAAGCAAAAGACAAAGCTATGTAATCATAGGTTGCTCTCTGTCTCTTCCTGATGTGGAATCTATGACAGAAATGAAGCCTGTAGAAGCGTTTCATGGCGAGATACGGAGTCATCGTGCACTTGAATTTACTGGCCATTCATTGACAAGAAACTAGGGGCTCCGACTGCTGCTTGCGGAGGTACCTTGTTGCTTGCGTAAATTGCTTGCGTAAATTTGAAACCAACTCACTTTTAGAGTCGTTTTGCAAAATAACCGCGAGACGAACTTTGATGCAGGGTTGACGCAGGCCCAAGCCATACAAGTATCCTTTTCGATCCACCTGGCTGGCCGAGATTTGCTTACAACTTTGGCATACCATTCGATGCGCTCCAGCGCTACAGCCACCGGGTTGCCTGCTTGGAGTGCGAATCAGGTGCGTTGCTACCTAATGGCGGGACGGTGCGCGGAAAGCGTTGAGGCCGCAGTTCTCCCTGTTATTTATTTGGGCAGTTTTTTCTCTCATTGTGCTTTCTCTGCTTTCCTAGACATATCCTCAAGGCCAGTCATTCCTCTCTAGATTCCAAGCAGACTCAACACACAACCAATTCCAGCTACCTCGCGAATTCAGCAACCAGACAGCTCTGGCAAACCTCCCACCCCTGCGGTTCATAACACAAAGCACTCTTAAGTGGAAATTAAGGAGCTTATCAGTATTTCTATTTAGCTTGGCTATCTATAGCTAGGTCATGGATTTAATATCAAGATATACCAGTGTCCTACAATCAACCCACAATGACGAGGGACCGCGGAAAGAAGCAAAGTCTAACTTTGATGTCAATACTAGGAGAGCGAATGTCGAGTCTGAGAGCAGAACGGCGCGGTGAGTAGATTTGACCAAGTTATATTCTCATGGCAATGTCTGATTCCATTCCTATAGATCTGTGGTGGACTTTGGGAATGGGGACAAGGGCAAGTCAGAAGCGCTTGAGCGTCTGTCCTTAGATTCCAGCCCAAGGCCGAAGGAACTTAAGAAACCTAAGAAACCTAAGAAGCGACCACAACAACAGCATCAAGGCGAAGGGCTATCCTGGAGAAGAGATCGATCCATCGGCTCGGAAAGTCAAAATCCGAACGAGTGGGCTAGCCAAGTCGGCCATGCCCCAACATTTACTTCTAACTGGCGCCCCAATGGCGAACCAACGAGAGAACTTGTCAACCCCTTAGCTGACTCAAATCCAAAGGCGCCCCCGGCTCAGACAAAGTTGTCTTTAAGAACCGCCCAGCCCAGTGGAAGTGAGCAACAAACACTACCAGTTGTTGCAAGCTCGGCTCAGCCTGCTCAAGGCAATCAAGAGCGAGGCATGAGCGACGCCCGTTGGCCTGAGATGATGCCGCAGCCAGAGAGCAGACGAATCTCCCAAGAGCAGTTGGCTGCGGAAGTTAAGTGGATATATACTGGGCTCACTATGATTGAGTCCAAGTGTATCCACGTGGATAGAGCACAAGTTGTCGCTATGCATGACGGCCAATATATTATCCGCAATAACCACTGGCAGGCTCTCATTGCCCTTCATCGTACTTTGCTCCACGAACACCATGACTTCTTCTTGGCTTCCCAACATCCCTCAGCCTCGTGGGCAATACGCAGACTCGCTTCGAAGTATTCTATGCCAGCTCGTATGTGGAAATATGGCATCCATTCCTTTCTTGAACTCCTCAGGTATCAACTGCCTGATTCGCTGGAGTTCATGATTAACTTCATCTATACGGCATACCAGATGATAAGTCTTTTATATGAGACAGTGCCGGCATTCAAGAATACGTGGATTGAATGCCTTGGCGACTTGGGCCGCTATCGTATGGCTATTGATAATGGAAATGTAAGAGACCATGAAAATTGGGCTAATGTGTCGCGCTTCTGGTACACAAAGGCGGCAGACAGATCTCCTGAGGTTGGTCGTCTGTACCATCATCTGGCGATTCTTGCTCGACCAAACGCACTGCAGCAACTGTTCCTCTACTCGCGGTCACTGATCTCTGTGCAAATTTTCAACCCCGCAAGGGAGACTATCCTAACACTGTTCAAGCCCATACTTGGACGGTCAGATGCAGCGTCGAGTCATACATCCCAATTAGACACTAGTTTCATTAAAGCTAGCGCCATCCTCTTCACTAAGGAGCATCTGGACGACTTTAAACACTTTCATGACGGCTTTATCGAGCTTCTTGATCAGCATATCGGCCGCGTGACGGCTGAGTGGCGAGTGCAAGGAGTTTGGGTCATCGTATCCCTCCTTGGCGCCCTCTTCGACTACGGAAATGATTCTCCGTTACGGCGCGTCTTTGAACTTGGATTTCACCAACTTGCACAGCAAGCTCGTGATAAGTCGCAAGCGGATCAGTCAGCTTCTTTTGATCCACAACATGCTCAATCTGATGGAGATACTGTCATGGAAAACCTTAATGTGCCGACGACTGTCGATTCGGAATCAAAAATTGCTTTCGAACATGCGCTCAAGTTCTATACTTCTGTCGTAACCTCGGTGCTGCGACGACTGGGCGATGAGAACGTGCTCCCGTTTGTGCACATTCTCCTCGCATTCTTGCTCTCTCTCATCCAACTGAAGTCTCTCGACTCCCGAATCAAGTCATCGTATATCGTTAAGACCATACTTGCTAGGGTTCCTCTGGGAGAGCTCTGCTCATTCCTCAATATATTAGCCCGCTCTGATTCCGCAGATGCCCGGTATGAAACTAAGACTTTTATTCGAGGGGAAGATTCGATACCGCTACCAGAAGATCATCTCATCCGGGGACAGGTTTGGGCGCAAAACTACTTCCCCGCAGATTTATTCAAGAGCAGCGAATTGGACGATGAGGAAAGAAATATTGAGCATGCATCTACAGTAAGAATGCGCGCCGAACGCGTACTGAACCTAGGTTTTAGACTGGCACAGGTAAATACTCTTAGACAGCTTATAAGCACTAATTACTAATGAGAAAGGAGCATGACTTTGGAATCAAATATGATATCAGAATAAAGACATTTAATCTGATCAATCACCCAAATTGTGGCTAAGACAGCTGCAGCGCTTGGACACAAGACCTCAGATTCAGATTGCCCTTGCCAGCCCATAATTCGCACTTCCAGGAATGCATCCCATTGGGAAATTAAATTGGGGGTATAGGTCATGGCCTCTGAAACATATTCAGAGAATATATATATTATGCAGACATGTTCGCACTATGATTAAGACAGCGGCAGGTGAGAAACGGATCAGAGATACTCTTTTTTTGCATGGCCAAATTATGGACTTGAGAAAGGATATCTATCCTCGACTTTTATGGCGTTTGAACAGGGCATATCAGTCGACTCTTGGTTGCCTCCAATTTCGAAGTATGCAACACCTGGCGCAGCGAGCCATAATTAAACTCCGATGGTCTCGCAAACGCCTGTTCCCCAGATATATTGACTTTTGTTGCTTTATTTATATTATAATTACAGCTATTCTCCTTCCCAGGTACTAATTTATGATAAGCTTAATTGCGCATTTACGTGCCTGAAATGTGTAATTTTATATGCCCAGATTTAAATCATATTCTATTAAAATTGCAAATAAAACCCCTTTGATGAAAGAGGATCAGTCTCTTTCCCGTGCTGGGATCTCAGTCTGTATAGATTATCCATGAACAACGCTTTCTGCACGTTCAAAACTTTCCCCATGATATACCCGATCACATGCGCTTGAAAAGGCCTCGCCGCAATCCGTGCAACCCGGTTCATGTCTCTATACTTATTATATACTTGAAGACATAGCAACATTCTTCGAATTATGAAAAATCTTGAATTTCTCCATGCTTTGAAACTGTATGTATCACCTTGATCGGGTCTTAATATATTATAAGTTGACCATTTAGTAGAACGCAATATGATTCCGATCTGGTCGTCAATTTGCCCCTTTACACGTACTACAATCATCAGATGTGGAACTCCACAGGTGAAGTTGCAGTCCAGATTACCACAAGTATAACTGTATGTAGCATCTGCGGTCGAAAACTTGGGGCTTATTTGAGAATCGAAGATTAGAAGTTCATATAAGATTTCTTGGAAAGTCTTTTGGGTGATTCGGCTTTCTATCGCGATTGGGGATCCATCTTGGTAATGTTCTGAATATGGCGGTGGGTCGTATGAGGGGAAAGCGATCTCTGGGGAACTCTTACTGAGAGGGCTTCTCAAAGTTGTCATGTTTTATGCTAGACAGAATATGGTTTATATATTAGTTATAGTGAGAACAAGATTAATTAAGCAGAGTAATTGATAAAGATAGATATACTTTAATTTTGCTAAGGCCTGGTCCCAATATAGGGATAGAAGATCCTAAAACAGGACCCATTATCAAAAGAGCCTGAAAGAGGAAGTGAGCTCAAGTCATAACAGTAGGCTCTTTGTGGCTGAGTTCAAGGGGCCTTGTTTTGGTCTCTTCGAGCCCGGTTCTGGTCCAAGTCATTTACGAGCCACAGAAGCTGTTAATCATACGCAAAATATAGAGTAACCTCCCCACCTGCGTAATGGAACGACCCCTGTGATAGAATAATGTTAAGGTACTTCGACTTCACTCTACTGCAGCACTCGCATATCTGCAGAAATTTTCGTAGTTTTGGTGATTATAATGCTTGTTAGCTACTGCGAAACATCCAGAAACCGCTGCATATCATTAATTACCTCTGCTTGCTCGTCAAATCAATGATCCGTGTGGGACAAGCTAATGCTCTCACTATGACTGCGATGAGAAATTTACGCTACAACGCCGCCACCATCAATTTTCTTTCCGAAAATTTCGCAGATAGGATCGCTCGCACACTGAGCACAATATGATCGATGCACAGCTTGTTATATACTGGGTGCGTGATAGCAGAGGCAATTGAAAAAGTTTCCATCACACAGAGCGGTACTTGCAGCCGGCATCCTCTTCGCGTCTGGCGAGCTCTTCAAAATGCGGGGCAGCTGTGTCTTGACTTGACTTGACTTGAATTCCTAACGTAATCAACCACCTAGTGGACCACACCACCTAGTGGACCACCGATCTCGCCTCCATCTCGTCTTCATCTTCAACAGCCAATGGCCACCGA